GTCCCCAGGCCAGCCCCCACAGCAAAAAATTATCCAGCCCTAAATATCACTGGTGCCCAGGATGAACAGCTCCAATTTAAAGGGTAAGAGAGAAGCAGCAATGCTGACCTTGACTTTGAAACAGACAAATGCGATACACGACCGTGAAGAAAATCCGCACGCCAGCTCATCTCTCCATACTCCTGTGCGGTGCCCATTTATCAGCCTGGTATGTTGAAGCTTTTCATGCCACCACTGTTTCCATTATGTGAAGCCTCAACCTGCTCTTGCCAACTTCATTCTCTTGCTCTCCATTTGGAAATGCGGTTCAGTGAGCGAGAGGCTCATCACACCTGAAGTTGGCTTTTGCTAAACTCAACAGTCACTGTTTTGGCCACTCTGGCCATTCTTAATGAGGACACTGCCTGTCATTACATAAACAGCTGATTAGATGGGGGATAGATTGGCTCCTGGTGTGGTCATAACTGACATTAGCCAGTTTTGAGACAGTGACACGCATGCCTGGGAACCACCTCTCCCATTAAAGAGAAATACCGGTGATGGTAGCTTATGTTTATGGCGCTGTACCATTTTTAAGGAGTTCTTCCGTGAATTGTCCAATTTGATTTGCCATTTCAACTCTTAGCTTTATGCAGGGTCATTTCTTATAAAGGGACACAAAACAAATGTGGAAGAGTTACTAAGGAAATAGATTGGAAAGAGTAATAACAGTAAAGGATCAAAAGACATTAGGAAAATAAAACCCACAATGAATGTAAAATTAGAAATGTAATTCTGGTAATGGGGGAAAAGCTTTGCCAAATTGATCAAGCTTTGGGAAGGTCTAATTATGGAAAAAAACCCAGTTCTACATTTCTGACTCTGTACTATATATATTTCCAGTTTCTGTGTTTGTAATTTTATATAGCATTTTGAGCATAGCACAGAAGTGATAGCATTTTGAATATTGTTGTGAATATATGTAAAAAGTATCTTTTCTGCCTGAAATATAAGATTTGAGGATTCTTGCTGTCAGGAATGGTCCCCCTGAAAAGGTTGCATTTGAGTAGAGCTGAGCTTCTTGTCCTCCCAAGGCTACCTCTACACTGATGATGCCTCTTTCTGTGGCCCAGCTCCTCTCTTTTGGTGCCATATCCCAGAATGCCTCCTGGATAGCTCCCCCGGGATCCCAAGCCATTGCCATTGAGTTGATTCCAATTCATGGAGACCCCACGGGTTACAGGGTAGAGATGCCGCATAGGGTTTTCTTGGCTGTAACCTTCATGGAAGCAGGTTTCCAGACCTTTCTTCAGCACCACTGGGTGGGTTTAACCACCAACTTTAGGACAGTAGTCAAACACAAACTGTTTACACCACCCAGGGACCAGGATGACTTAGGGGCACCTTAACCCATATGTGCCCATTTTCCCCATCAAACTTCTTCCTCATCTTTGATTCTCCATTTTGGTTCATGGCAAGACCATCTCCTCACACTCAAGTTAGAAACTCCAAACTCACCCTGGAACCCTTCTCTCTTACCACCCACACACATAGGTTCCAGTCAGACATCATGGGGTCCTCACTTCCTCCCCAAGCCGTCACCATTGCTGTTTCAGGAGACTCCAAACTACCATATTTATTCTCAAATAATGCATGATGGGGTTGCCAGGTTTGCAAAAAACTATAAAGCACATGTTATTTGTGCAGAAATAGCAGTAGTTTTCCAACCTCTCTTCTCCTCCCGCCCCACCTTATCTTCCACCTTACGGTGTGAATGACCTTTGTGGGGTCTCTCATCTCCCGGCATTGCCTCCAGAATAAACATTTGACCATGGTGTTCCTGGCTCCTAATCTACCTGTTCAGCCATTTACTACTATTCTCCTCCCACCCCCAACCTCACCACACACACCTACACTGTGGACCCTCCCTCAGAAAAGACATCCCCCAGACACTTTGACAACACTTCTCTTCCTTTTCTCCTGAAACACTCTTCTGTTTCCTACCAGGCAAGCGTCTAACCATCCACCAGTAGCCAACTCAACTCTGCGAAGCTTTTCCCAATTCACGTCCCCCTCCCCTCCTCATCTTTCTTATGATCTAGTGCTAGTTGTTGGTGTGTGCCATAGAGTTGGTTCCAACTCATAGTGACCCTACGTGACAGAGTAGAACTGCCCCATAGGGTTTCCTAGGCTGTAATCATTGCCAGGTTTTTGCTTCTGGCCAGTGGCTAATGGGTTCCAATAGGCAGCCTTTTGCTTATTAACAGCCAAGCTCTTAACCATTGCCATGCCAGGGCTCCTCATAGTGTCTGTAGGCGCTAGGATTATCCTGGTTAAGAAGAGTTCTTTGTGTCCCGATAGCCTGTGGGTTCTTTGGAGACAGGTACCATCTCTCGTGCATGTCTGTGCCTCTTGCAAATGTTAGCACTTAGGAGATTTTGTGGAACATGTTTATTGAGCTCGCCAGAATTCTGCAGAAGACTTTTAAATAGGTAAGTTGCACCATGTGAAACTGCTGTTTTTATTGGTCAATATCAGCGATTTCATATGATTCAACCTACTAGATCTACTTTATAATAATATTTATTATTCCTGATTTGGCTTTTCAGAAGAATCCAGACTGCCTTAAATCTCCAAGAAGTATTTTCAGCTCTGGGAGACATTTCTGATTCTATTCATTCCACATATCCAGTTTTTCTAGCCAACAATGGATGCCTATGTCCAAAATGTTATAATGGTATACTCTGTTTTCTTCCTTGCTGTTGACTATTTCTCGGGTTTTTTTTTTCTTTCTTTCTGATTCAAATGGTTTATCATAAACATTAACTAGGTTTTGAGGCCGTGTATAAGGATAATGAAAGGTATAAAGGTAACTTCTTAAATTACCATATTTTTTTTTTTTTTTGTCCCTAATGAAAGAAAATGAGGTAGTCATGAATAAGGCAAAAGGGATGAATTGTTTGTTTACATGTAGTTTTTCAGGGTGAAAATAGATGATGGTATTAGCTGGAGGATTTGTGGCCGTTTTGTCCAATGGCTTTGATTTCATTGACTATGATACAGAACTAAAGTTGCCCTAGTATTTACAATGTCTTCCATATTCTGCCTTCCCACTTTTACGAACTTTTAAATATAATATTCTTAAGAAATAGCCAAAAAGATTCAACAGTTTTGGGTTTATCAAGCTTTTCAATCCCTTTGTCATGAGACAGTAATATTGGCTGGGGCCAAGATTTAAGGGAATAGTTCGTTGTGGGCATGGTCTTCTAGGACAATGGTTAAAGTGAAAGGTGAGATGAAAACGTGAAAGAAAATATTGAAACAGGCCAAACTGGTTTTTAAAATCTTTTCTGGTTTGACAGGAGTGAGGGTATTGAATGTGGAAGGCTTTGGGGATTATCTAAAACTAATGCATTAAAAGGTTGGATTGTTAGAGGATTTTCATTCAGGATCTTATTATACACTCTTTTTTGGTAAGTGTTGAGCAACAAAACTTGGGAGAATTTTTTAGGAGAAGGTAGTCTTCATCTTGTCCTTATGTTTACTTTTTTTGGGGGGTGGTGAGCACAACCAATTAGAAGATCCCACTCGTGGTTAGGGAATCCTTCACCCTATGGTTCTCAGTAGCCAGCACTGTATTTGACTGGAGTTTCTGTAAGTATTCTTCATTTCTATAAATGAAGGCAAGTGGATTAGCTGAATGCTTGAAAAATGGTGCAGGAATCAGAGAAGCTTGGGAATGCATAGCCCATAACCAGGAGGAAGACTTACATGCTTGGATTGACTTGAGAACTTTGGTTCTATTGTATCTGGGTATCCAAGACAGCTTATGAAATCTGTAGTCAGAATCAAAACTCATTACTGATATGGTAGTTTTTATTCTGAACATTGATAATGCTCTTGAAAACACCCTTTTGGATTTGAGTAAGGTAAGGTGTTCTAGGGAGCTCTGGTAGCATAGTGGCTAA